TCTGCCTCAGATAGAGGGAGGGAGGGGGGTCGACCAGATTTTCGACGAGATGACCTTTGTCCAATCAGCTGGCGAGCAACTTCCATTCGGAAGTCAATAAACTCCTGGGAGGACTGGGGATTTGCTTTCCTCATTATAATAAAAGAATCAAGAAGGCAAACCTCCAGGCCATACCCTAAGAGCTTCTTCCATGCCTTCCTTGACTTTCTGACCACAGAAAAGGTCTTGATAAGCTGATCTGAGAGGTCCACCCCACCCATGTACTTTTGGTAGTCCACTTGGGCAGGGGGACATGGAACATCGACTTGCTCACGCCCATTCTTCTGTGGTATAGTTGGAAGGGTGCCATCAGGATTTTTAGGTGGGTGAATTGTTGAAAGAAGGTAAACCCCACGCCTGTCAAACCAGCTCATAGCAACAAGTTGATCATGGATTCTAAACTGGTAATGACCCCTGGGCAGGTGCTTTTCGTCAGCTTTTGCAATAAGAATATCTTTAGGAAATCCTTTCCTTCCAGCTCTGACTGTGCCACAGCAATAAATGCCCGAGTTCATCCGTTCAATGAACAAATGAGGGTCACAGTAGAAATTGTCCATATACAAATGGTGGTTGTTCCCTTCAATTGGTGCAGTGAGATCTCTGACAACACGCCGAGCCAAATTTTTTTCTGCGTTGCCCCCCTCTTTACCAAGATACACTTGAAATTTGTACACATAGCCAGTAAGGGACTCTGATAACACCCAGAGTTTTATCCCCCATTGGGTTGGTTTGTTCTTGATGTACTGTTTGAACGACAGTCTGCCTTTGTGAGGGACCATGGTTTCATCAATTGCAATATCCCTTGAAAGCTTATACTCCCCGCTGATGTTGCGGGAAATAATGTTCAGAAATTCTCTGACTCTGTAAAGTTTATCATATCCAGGATCACCAACTGGGGGTGCAACGGAATTATCAGCCAGGTGGAAATAACGCCAGATTTGTAAAAATCTGGTGCGTGACATTACATTGCTGATACCCTCTTGGTGAATAAGATAATCTTCTTTCCAGTACATTCGAAAACGTGGAAGCTTGATAACGCCCATCAAAATTATTATGCCTATGAAAGCCTCCATTTCTTCCCTTGTAACTGGGTGCCATGCCTGTTTATGTTTGTTTGGGTCAGTTCTAACCATAAAATTGGTTTCCCGGACAATCATTTGCCAGATGTCATCAGTGAAAAGAAGATCAAAATAAAACTTAGCTGGATTGTTCTCTGGATTCACAAATCGTCTAGAAGGACCTGGTGCTGGCTCAGTGAATGGTTGGGGTGCTGTGTGAATTCGTGCATCTCTAGACCACTGCAATTCTGGATCAGCATTGCGTGGTTGTCTTCTGTTTTGGCGACCACGGCGAGATCCTCGAGGAACCCCCCTAAAGCGCAGTCTTTGCCCTCGTCTTACACGCGCACCTCTTCCTCGACCACGAGTACTTGTAGGACTCACACTACGATCACGTCCGCTGACTTCTTCATTGCTAACATCTGCATGTTTATAAAAAACAGCGCCTCTTTGTCAGGACATCCAGTTCTCCGAGGTCATTCTTTTTGAAGGTGAACGTGTCTAGCTGTTTATCCCAGCTTAGGCCGAGAAGATCCGTGAATCGTTCACCGTTGGATTGGTCGATTTCTGCCTCATTGGAATGCCAAGTTTTGATCTGGAAGTTGCCTTTCGCGAGGACAGCGTCGATGTGGCTGATAATCTGCTTTGCCTTGGTTACTGTTTCTCTGGAGCCACCGATGTCATCCACGTACACATGCTGTCGGAGTTCTCCTGCGGCTTCCGGGAATTCTGCGTTCGAAAGCTTGGCTAGCGTGTTGATAGCGTTAGTTGCGACGTCAGGGGCCGGTTTATCACCAAAGTTCAGTCTTAGCCACTGGTAAACAGTTGGTTTGTCACGTGTGTTGCTCCTCCAAAGAAACCTGTGGTACACCTGATCCTCAGGATGTACCAGGATTTGGTTGAACATTTTACGAACATCACCAGTGAACGCCACTTCGTCCCATCGCCATGCTGCCAGTACATCCAGAAGACTATTGATGAAGTTAGGTCCTTTCTCAAGGTAATCGTTGAGGGACAATCCATCATGACCTTTTGAAGATGAATCAAAGACTAGTCGAACTTTTGTGGTTCTTTCTGGCGTAAACACTGCTTGCAATGGGAGGTACCATTCAGGTTTATCATGAGCAATTTGTTCAGGTGGAATCATTGTGATAAAGTTCTGGTCTAACAACTTTTGCACTTCCTCTTTTATGACCTCGAAGCAACCCTTTTTCATAAACCCCCTTTCAGCGGAGAGCATCCTCTTCAGAGCGATGTCGTAGTTGCTTCGTTTTGGAGGCTCTCCTTCTTTCCAGGGCATCTTCACTTGTATTCTCCCGTCGACCAAGTTAGTTGAAGCTGCGAGGGACTTCACGAACTTGCTCTCACGTAACACGTTTTCAGTGCAAGTACAGAGTTTGGTTGGTTTGACTCCAAGGAGGTCTTGGTGCAGAAGTTTCTTGATATCTTCCTCGACACTCACTGTCCCTACTTCTATTGACTGAATTTCAGATAGAGTGGAGCCGCTTGACTCGAACTGTCCCAGAACGTACCATCCAAAACAGTTTGTTTTCCTGATGGGCTCTCCAGGTTCTCCGGACACTGTGTGAATATCAATGAAGGCCTCTACGAAGTCTGTGCCAATAAGGAGATCTATGGCACCACCCGAGAGATGTATTTTATCGGAAACGTTCTTCAAATGGCTGTATTGTCTCACTGACTCCTTAGAAATTGTTTTGGCACTACTGCAAGGTCTAGTTACGGTATACACTTGAAGGATCTTCGTAATATCTTCGTCAGAGGGGGAGGCAACCGTGACATCGATTATCTCAGAAGGTTCGCTTTTCTTCTTTCCACCCGCCAGATTCATAGTGAGACGTGTTGCTGCTCTATTTAAGCGAAGTCGACCAGCTGCACTTTTGGAGAGTAGGCTTGTGTTAGACCAAGAGTCCAACATGGCGAGAACTTCGACAAAGTTTCCATTTTTGTCCATGACTTTAACTTTTTGCACAGGGCAAAGTCCAGTAACAGGTTTCAACTTGCTTTTCTGGTACACAGCATTCCCCTGGATGTTACCATTCGATGTGGGTGTGGGCCCTTGGAACTGACTTTGAAACGGTGGTGCTTTGGGATTCAAACTTGTGTTAGTTTCTCCAGTCTTCTCATTATGTAGGCACCGGTGATGGTTTTTTCTGCATTTGTCGCAGGTTGAGCCGTCTGGTTTCTTGCAATCGTTTGTGTGTTGCGCTCTGAGACACTTGCGACATCGCCAATGTTGCTTTACAACCTCCCACCTTTGATTGACTGTTAGAATCTGAAACTTAGGCAATGCAGCCAGGTGATGTTTGGTCTTAGAGCCAAGAGGACATGTTTCATCGTCAGAATCCTCGCTGTTAGCGGCATTATTTTCTGTCTTTTTGGGACTTTTGTCTCGGCGAATTTCGTTTCTTTCCACTGTGTTGGTGTTCGCTTTCCCTCGGGAACGAATACTCGCTTCTTGATGTAACCAGGTGATTAGATTGCTCACGGTTTCTTCTTTTCCTTCTCTTTTCATTTCTCTACCAAAATCTGAATTGTCACTTGGATCGAGTTTGGACAGAAGCTGGGACATGAGGAACGGCGCTTCAACTGACTCCAGCACAGGACACCCAATATTATCTTCCATGTCACTTACATAACAGGCTATTGTCATAGCGAAATGCGTTAGGGACTTAGAATCTCGTTTGACTGCTTTAAGATTATAAATCTCGGTGTGCAGTTCGTCCATTAGTTTTCGTCTGTCTGCGAACTCTGTATCCAAAATGATCCACGCGCTGTCAATGGTTTTACAAGTTTTTACTTGGTCGGTCCAGAACGATCCTTTTGGCATTGCATTTCGAAAACGTTGCAATTGTTCATCTTTATCCTGACCGTATTTCTTCATCCAATGGCTGAACTCCTTTTTCCACGTGGCATAGGTTCTGCGAGTTCCGTCCCATACTGGTACAGGTAATCGTTGTAAACTTGAGTTTGACGGTTTTGATCCGATGTTATCTGCCATTTTCTGCACCACCGACGTCATGGATGACATTGATAATGTTAGCGCTTCCAGAGTTGTCGCATTGTTAGAATTTTCTGAGGAGTTTTGTTCCTTTTGATATGCAGCAAACTTTAAAGTGATTTGAAGGAAATCAGCTTTGGTTTTGTCTCCAGCTTTCTTTGTTGCTAACACAAGTTCGTCTTCTGGGCCAGTGCCTTCGTCGACCAGTCTATCCAGAATTGTTTCCTGCTGTTTCTTGACCAACCTGTACTTGGTTTCTACTAAACTGAATGCTGCTTCAAGTGTTTTTAGTTCCAGTTTTACGGAGAAAATTGTTTTGAATTCTTCCATTAATTCGTACAAGAGTTTGACGGCATTGTCCAGTTTTCCCGCGAGAGTTTTCATGTCTACCTTCGGCGGCATTGTGAGCGGAATTTAAATGCGAAGCTTGGCGGTAGTTAGAAACTCGGCGTAATCTTCTCCAACAAATTTTGACTGATTCGCTCCTGTGATTGAAGGGCTACTTTATGTTGAAGATTTCACCACTAACTGATTTTTGCATACATGACCGCACTTGTAGTAGTATAGTCAACTGAAAAATTAAATTAATATGACAAAGAAGATTATTACACATGTCGATTTCGGTTGAAGCGACGGGAAAAATATTATACTTACAATTTGTGTTCCATATGGGGCTAGTAAGCTTAGAAGTGCGATCTGTGGTGACACTTTTGAAATGTAAGTTGCGTAACGAACTTCTAGGTTTTAAAATAATTAGTCACCTGATCTATTTTTGCAGCGTTGCGCTAAGATAATTAAATATTCACAAAAAAATGACAAACGGCTTGAGAAATGCAAATCACACTTCTTGGTTCTTCGGATGAAGGCAACGGATTTCTTTCGCATCACTTTCGAAGTGACTCTAACATGTGAGGAAATCCCCACTCTTGCCAGTTGTCGTCCAAACGGACAAGGTCAGCCCTGATGTCAGGTAGTTTGTCCAAGGTAACTCGAACGTAGCCATTTATCTCTTGAATTTTTCCCATGGTTTCCAGTGCTTGAGCATTAGTTGACAGCTTCTCATAGAATGGGTGTATTTTTGCTGGCTGAGATCCCTGTATGGTGGGTAAGGAAATAATACACTGCATGTGCACGTTGGACACTTCACTTGGTTTCCCGTACTTTGCTTTCAGAATGCTTTTAGCTCGTTCGTAGCCCTCTGTATTGTAAGGCAAGCCATCTACCAGTCGAGGTGGGTTCCTTGAAATTTAGTGATGGTTAACTTGGGTAACTTGGTGCCACTCTCCTTTAAGAGATGTGTTTCTATCCTCTTCTAATTTCTTTTCGTGGTCGCCTTTGACCTTCAATTTTGCCTCCTCGAATTTCAACTCTTCGTAATGACGATTCCTTTTCTCCTCTTCTTTCTTTTCCTCCTCTCTCACTTCGTGTAAAGCCTCCTCTCGTAGAATCCTTGCCTCTTCTCTCACATTAACGGCGAGTTTTTCGAATATGTCGACTTGCCCTTCGATTTCCAATGTCCATTCTCTCACGTCGTTCGGGTCATCTCATTGCTCTATTTTTTTTGTATTTGAACCTTCTGTTCATGAACGCCATCTAGCTGTTTTTCCAAATCCTTTTGCAATCGCTTTAACACTTTCAGTTCTTTCTTCTCTCGAATTCTCGGTACTTCTTCGGTCGTGAATTTCAACATTCGGAGCTTTGCGTCGATCTTTTTCACCGCTTGCTCAAGCTCAGCCATTTGTTGTTTTTGATAAAACCACGTGGTCAGTGTGATTTCTGTGATGAATTTTCTGTTTCTTTTAAGCCGTGTCCTGGCAGGGTCGCCACTTTTGTCGGGAAATGGTGCTCGCCGACAAAGGAAACTCTCACGTATGAAGATTTTCACCAGATTTAATATTTCTCACGATTTACAGCTCTCTCTTTGTGGGTACACGTCGTGGTATTCTCCCTCCAAAATCAATCTCATCTGTCTGTAATTCTATATTTTTTTCTTAAGATGAATAGCCTATTGTTACAATCACGCGTTTCGCAATCAGTTCATGCACGTAACATAAAAAGGTAACACAACTCGCTTCTGGTCACGACATCAAGAATATTTTAATCGATTGTGTCTAAGATATCTGGTTTGGGCATGTTTAAAATTTGTATCTCCGTAGACTCAAACAAAATAGTTTGGTGGCGACTCATAATGTGTGAATAGATGCTAAATAAATGAAAACAAATTTATGATTAAAAATTTGAAGGAAGGTATATTTGAATACTGTCAAGTACTTATTGGGCAATTGCAAGACATTTGTATTCTAAACAAAATAATGGTTTTCGGTTGACAGGCTTTAGTTTTGTATGCATCACTGCATTTGTGGGAAAATACAACCATTGGCAGGTTTTGAATGTATGCCAATCAAAAAAGTTTTCAATTCCGATTCATTAAATTTATCTACAGTTTTATTTGGATGTATTAAAGCAGCACCTTTGAACATTAGAAATTCAAAATACTTTTGAGTTTAGAGACAACTGTGATTTGTGTTAATTAGGTACTGAGGAAAAATTTCAAATCAATCTTTAAATGCCATAGAACTAAAAGCTACCTTTTTGCTTATTAAATGTAAGATGCACTTTGGGCATTGTAAATCAAACATTTTTTTTTTCTATTAATTGTTTTAAGCTAAGTCTTGTATTGTATTTTATTGTATTGTATTGTATTGCATTGTAGTGAATTGTATTGTATTGTAGTGTATTGTATGTTATGGTATGGTATGGTATTGTATTGTATTGTATTTTCTTAGCTTGTATTTATGTTTGTAACTATTTCTCTGTAACTCTTCACTGGAAGTGAAATAAAAAAGACAAAAAAAAAAGGTACTGAGGTAGAGATGATTAATTGGGATCCATGCAGACTTGTGTTCTTAGAGTGACAAATAATCAGTTCACTGTGGGCATGTGCAAGTTCTGTTTGTACATTCATGCATGTACTCTGACAAATCAAATCATTATGTAACCTTCCAAATGAATCATCATGTGGTCAGAATTGGGCGACAACAATAATGTTTAGCAGAAATTATCCATCCAAGAAGGCACACATCAACTAGGTAGCTACCCCCAGGGAGTACTCTCTCATATGGGCTATATAGGTATGTGCGGCACCAAAGGGTATGGTCTTTTAGCCGTTTTGCTCTGAAATAGGGTGTCAAATTTTTGATCAGATCTAACATAGGGTAGGGAAAATCACAGATTTTGTTTGAAATAGGGTTAGGGTTTCAGGAAGCCTGCCGCACACCCCACCTAATTTTTCTGGAAGTATCACCCCCTCCCCCCCCTGGGGGTAAGTACAGTAAAAGAAAACTAAAAAAACATTACTTACATTTAATGGCTTTATCTCTTTATCATACAAAATGATGGACATCAATTACAGACTGAATGAACTGCTCTGAAATAAATGTATAAACGGAAATAAACAACGATTCTAACTTTGTTGCTTTGGGCAGAGACGATTGACATCCATCAAAAGACTTACTTTTTGTCTACACTTTTTGAAATCATAATAAGGCAGATGAAGAAGGTAATTATTGTTTCGTATCCATGAATCGGCTCCCCAGCTAAAGAAGGTAGGCTTCGAAGTTTAAAGTACAAAGCCAGTCAGACTTTTAAAGCATGTGACAAAACAAACACTTACCTCGACAAACTCTTCACTCAATCGTAAGTCCAGAGAAACAGCTTGCAAACATTTAAACGCACGTGGAAAGACGAACGATCCGATGGAGCGACTGCAAATTGGTAGTCACCGCCTCGACAAACTCCTCAATTTGATCGTAAGCCAAGACAAACAGCTTGCAAACGTCTAGACACACGTGGAAAGACGAACGATCAGATCGAGCGGGTCACATGATTACAGATACTTGATTTGTTTCGTTTAATTTCGATTTTTTAAGCACGGTTTTGAAACCCTCCATCCTCTTTGACCCCTGTCCATTGGAGAGACTGTCAATACTCGTACACTGCTTGGTAAACGCTCCTTAAAGTAGCCATGAGCTACACAAGTGGAAAATGCTATCCTCAACCGAAAGTAGTTAGCACCTTATTTTCTCTTGCCTCTAAACTACATTAATTCCAGCGTTCTTGCGAGCTTCCCGTTCCCGCGTTTTCACGTAGGCATCTAGATATATTCTTTTATCATCGTTATTACAAGCGATAGGTTTTGTATTAAATAAGGAAAAAGTACACATACAATACATAGGAGTGGCTGTTTTCATGAAGTAAGGAAAAATGGATTGCCGTAGTTTTGTTGAAATGTTTGAATAAGCACCCACGGCGCTTGTTTAATTTTCTAACGTGAGAGGGGGGTGCTAATTCGAAGGGGGGCGCTTATTTGGAGGGGAGCGCTAATTTCGTTTATCAATTTTTAGCCTCAAAATGACATTATCTGTTTTTCTATTTAAAACCAAACTGCAACATAAAAATTCAAAAACTTTATAAAAAACTACTTTTTGAGTACCAAAACTCATTTTGTCTTGGATATTTCTATCAAGGAAATGAGAAGCAAACCCGTACGACTTTGAAAGGACATTACTGTTTATACTATTTAATAATGCGTCTCATATATCGTACCGAGTACCGAAACTCATTTTTTCTCGGGGGAGGGGCGCTTATTACAACTTTTGAGCCTTAGAAGGGGCGCTAATTCGAAGTGGGGCACTTATTTGAAGCTGGGCGCTAATTCGAGCATTAACGGTCTGCCAGCGCGCGACTGACCTATCCCTTGCCTCTGTAATTTAAAACACTCATTTATAAAAGCATTGAATACCTTACTATAGAAAAGGATAATTGAAACATTATCAACCCCGGAAAAAAGATCCAAAGGGATAAATGTGTTTTAGTGGTGCAGAGTACTGCAAAAGAGCGTAATTTTTTATTCCGGGTCAACGTTTTCTCGTTGCTATGCTCTTCAACGCCACTTCTAATATCTAAAAGGTAAACGATAAAAAGAGTACAAGGCAAGAAACCATTTGCGTAAAACAATGTTTGATATTGTATTTCAAAGAAGACTTTCTTACATTGTGAGTCTCAAAGGGAATTAATTTTATGGAACATTATACCCCTTTAATTTTCGCGGTAGCGCAAAAGCGAAAAGAGTGTAAAAATAACTTTTCACAGGTCTAACTCCTTTTTGTTTTAAAGGACAAACCTGGAATTGAGGTCAGTTATTGCTGTCAGGCTAATGTTTAATTTGATTGTATTAATTATTGTTATCTCTTAAAAAATTGTGTAGAAAACCCTTGCTGGAACATATGGCAAACCAGGAACTTTTGTAACGTTGACGTTTTTGAGACATGGTTAACTTCAAATCTATACAAAAAAAATAAGAAAAATTTCAATGAACTTTCTGTTTTCTTTGTTGAATTTCTTGATATCTACTTTAACTTGCGTCAAAGTTTTGTGAAGATTGAGTCAATCAAGGAAGCATAATTGTGATTTGAAAGTCGCTGTGTAAAAAACGGGGATTTTGCGAATCGTGATTCTATTCATTGATATGAAAAGTCATACGTAAAAAAGTCAGATTTTTTTGAGCTGCAGTATCTCAAATTTAAAGTGCAGTGGTAGTCGAGAGAATCATATGGCATCGTTATGGCAACCCAATAGCTACAATGTGTTAATAAAATGGGCTAAAAAGCTTTTAATAAAGTGCTTACCACCACGTAAGGCACTTTTGCACCCTCTTTGCCACTAATAATTGGCTGAAAAATTTTAGTTTTGATTGTGAATTTCGGGGCTTTGCAAGGATAAGGTGCCCACTGGCAGACTTCCTTCTGGTAAGTTTCAGACATTACCACTTTATATTTAGGAAGTACTGAGCGAAAGAGGGAAATGTTACAGATGTGCCCTACTTTTCCTCTGGGGGGGGGAGAGAGAGAGAGAGAGAGGGGCGAAGTTTATTGGCTTTTCGCTAAACTATAAACTAATCGTAAAGCTTGCCACATTTCTAGGGGCCGTTTTTCATTCATGCATATCTACCGACATAAGTAGACAAATACAATTTTTTTATGTACAAAAAAGTTAATCTGCTCATAATTAACAGACATTCTGGCATGTTTTAGCCGACTGATATATACATTTTCCTTTCTCGGTGTCACGGTACATTCAAACCCCCTTTTTTCACTGGGGATATGACCACAACAAAGTAATCTTTTTCATTTAATAATTTTTTTTTTTCGGTAAAACCCTATGACTTTTAAGATAACCGAATTTCGGTAAACACCCTTTAGACGGAACTATTTACATAGTTGTGTTAAAAAAAAACAGACAGCTGTAACCGGAGCCGCATATTTTACCTTAATTCTACATTTTTGTTTAAGTTGGACAATTTTTCATAAATCTAGGTATATCCATGCCTTAATCCGAGCACAAAGTTAGCTTCAGGAATATAATCTTTCCCGGATAGTCTTTCTATGTTGCAAAGTAAGTAACCGAAATTATGCAAAATGTATGTCACGAACATCTCTTAACGTTAAAAATCGGCAATATTGATCACAAATCTGTTTAAAACACGGTTTATCTATGCCTTATTTCCAGAATAGAGTTGGTTTCAAGAATGTTTGCGCCCACAGATAGTTATTTTGTGTGGCAAAGTTAGAAATCATAATTATACAAATTTGTGTCACTCTCTGACCCTTGAATTACGGCAATTTTGATCGAACTCCCATAGCTCGAAAACCTTAGTGCCCAAAACTTTTTTTGTTGTTT